ATCGAACCCTCACTGCAGAGGCTGCGAGCAGCTTCGCAACCCAGCGCTCAACCGCTGCACCACCAGGGAGGCCCAGTCACCACGTTTTAACACCAGCAGGAATATAAAGACATTCTCTTATAGTTATTGAAAAGGTAATACCAAGAAAAAAATACACAAGAAAAGGAGAGATCGAGGAAAAATAATTCCTGTGGCAGAGTTCTTCTAGCCCTTCCAAGATCAGTGGGAGAAATGTCTGTGCTGTAGCAGAAAAGTGTCATCAGCAACAGAAATGTACAGCTTAGACAGTCTTCATTATAGAAGAAAAAGGAAAAGTTGGCATCCTAGGACATTTCCAAGCTGCTGGGAGGATGCCTGGCTTTCAGGAAGCTGGGGAAGGGAACCGGGTAAAGGAAGCTTTGTGATCCAGCCCCACCAGGCTGCTGAGAAAGGGAGATAAATTCTCCCTGCTATAAAACTTCCCAAACCGGAATTTGGAAAGGGATAAAACATCACTAGGAACAGAGTCAGGCAGCTGAAACTGCAATGAACTTATCCCTTCCTATCCCCAACCCAGCAGGAAATGCACCCAGGAAGTTTGATAGTCATCTCTGAAAATCCTATTCCCAAAAACACACAGAGCACTTCCAAATGTTAAGATTTCATTCTCAAAATTGTTCTGATTAATCTCAAAGAGGCGAAGGTGAAAAGTTTCCTTAAATTATATTTAAGGAAGTCGGGGCAAATCAGTGATGCCTGCAGGGTTCATGAAAGCGGAAAAATTTTTGGCAAAGGGTATGTGTTAAACATTTCCCCAGGCCTTACTCTGAGTTGAAACCATTCGGAAGACAATGGATCAAAAACACGAGGTTGCATCAGAACACACTATCGCGGTGGCCTGGTGTGGTTCCATCTCTTCTGATGAAGACAGGTCCCCCAGCCCCCTCCACATTAACCACTGCTTGTCTTTAATTCTAAAGAGAACACAGATAACACCCAAGTGTCGTGAGAGTCTTCAGAGGCATTGGTCTGTTTCTAATTTCATTTATAATTTAAAGGTGTACGACTTTCTGTTGTTAAAAAAAAAACCACATTGTATTGTTTCCTGGAACACACTGTGCACATGAAGACAGGCATCTGCTCTAGGTCAACGAATTAGAGACAAGTACTCCCTCTACCAAGAGGAGGCCCTTAGGCTCATGAGTGCTTTTATTTATTTTTTTTAAGATTTATTTATTTATTTGTACAAGCACTGGGTACAGTCAGAAGCACAGGAGGGTGAGAGAATTCACCAGAGCCAGAGCGGAGAGCAAAGCAGGCAGAATTTTCGAAGTACACTGCTGAGGGGAGCAGCGGGCAGCAGGAGAGGTCTGCGCGCCATGTGGGACCCTCCTCTGGTGGCCGGGGAGCAGCTGGGGATCGAACTGGCGCTGCAGAGGCTGCGGGCAGCTTCGCAACCCAGCGCTCAACCGCTGCTCCACCGGGGAGGTCCTCATGAGTACTTTTAAATGGAGATTTTATTATTATTGAATATAGGGTAAATGAAGTCACTGTCTCACTGTTAGCTAGGTTTCCTTGTTCATTTAAAGGCCTGTAAAGTCTACCAAGGAGTCCAAGTTTCCTTTACCTGCGGTCTCAGACCCAACAACGTATCTACCCGGCCTGGGATGGTTGCGCCACATTGGACAGGGCAAGGTCAACAGGTCAGGAGACAACTGCCTTTGAAAGGATGGCTTCCTATGCTCAGAGATCCTAGAAGTTAGGGAGCCCTGCCCCTGCCCCACAGGGGCCACCCAGGGAAGCTTGAGGGCCAGTCTGGAGTAGTGGAAACAAGAAAAAGGTATGGCCAAAAGTTTTTATTATGTTTCTGTGGCAAGAGATAGTCAAGGCAGGGTAAACAGGCCTGGAATTGGCTGGTTTGAATCACACTGAGCTGTCCCTAGTTTTATGATACCTTGACCTGGGGCAATTTCAGCCTATGGGTAGTGATCCAGAGTATAAGAGCCCTGTAAATAAAGGAGGTGGTAGAGGTCTGGATTCCGGATTGCTTGGTTTGCATATGAAAATTGGCAGGCCCTCTTTTGAATCTGAGTTAAGTAGACTCAAGTGGAAGAGTCAGAATCTTTTATCTAAACGCCAAGATACTCAAGGGACTGCTGCAAGATGGCGGCACAGTGAAGACATGTGACCCATCTTCTCTGATACCCACAACAAAATCGCAGTGAAACAAAGTCAAAAATATCCTGGGGGCGGGGGGGGGGGCGGTGACAATCGAGGCACACATTAAGAGCAAGAGTCTGGCAAAAAGGGCTAGGAAAAATTTTAAGTGAACTTTGTTTACTGTGATAAAGTGCAGTACAATTCACAAGAGGGAGGGGCGGGCAGCTCCTAGGCAGAGACCAACAGCTTTGACTCAGTTGCACACCACAAGAGGGACACCTGAGACTCCGCACCCCACTGGGTGAGGTGTGTCCTGTGGAGAGCTGCAGGGATCGGGGTGCAGGTGAGGACTAAAGGCTTAAGCCTGAGACTCTCAATATAGAACCGCAGACACTGAATCAAGTTCAAAGAAATCACAACATCTGGTCTCCTCAAAGGCGAGGCTGCTACTACTATTTTGAGCTGAGTAGTGATTGTGCATATAGGAGACTCAATTTCTATACATAGTTGAATCACCATAAAGTTGATAAACATTTTCTTTAGAAAAGATTCTTAGCTAATGCAGAAAGAGTGAATTAGTAAAAAAAAAAAAAAAAAAAAAAAACCTGCAATTCCATTAGAATAATGTCTCCAGGCAAAAGAAATGCCAAAGGTGTTACTAGAAACATTGAAAGAAAGGGAAATTTACGGGCTTGTGGTTCCAGCAACACACTTAAAGAATTTGTGCCTGTATGTGACCCAACATAAATGCTTGCCAAAAATTGAAATGGAATAGTATCAAGCTTCCAGATCAAATGAGCCAGTTCACAGGAATGTGGGGGATACAGAAACATGTTGAACAACACCAAGGAAATTCTAGAGGCTGAATGACCTGGTTTCCTGGACAAATAAATGGCATGGAAAGAAAAGGGAGTGTGAAAATGTAGAGTAAGTGAAATTTTAGCGGCCTAGGAAATAAATGCCCTCTTTGTGAGAGCTTCAGGTTATTATTCAAACAACCTATAATAATTTTTTTTTCTGAGAAAATTGGGGACATTTTACATAAAATGATATTAGATAATAGTATATAACATATTTGTGTGTGTATGTATATATTCGTGTGTAACCAGTTCTTGCCGATTAGAGTTGCATACTGATATAATATTTGAAAATCTTTTGTAAATAGTCCAGGCAAAAAAAGGGAAGAAGATTTCTGTAGATAAAGAGAGTTAGGCAAAATCTGGTAATTGTAGAAGCTGGGTGGTGGGTCCATGGGGAGTCATTATAGTATTTAAATATTTTTACAATACGTTTCATGTTTAGAGGATAGTATTTTTATAAGTTAAAAACAATATACGAGGCAATTTAGTAAATGAAGTAAGAAAAATCAGATGGCTATTAGCATAAGAGATAATAAGGGAAGATCATAATTGAAAAAAAGGGCAAAGAACAATTTGAGATGTTTTGGAGAATAGAAAATTGGAGAAAGGAAAATGTCAAAGGTGATGCCAAGTTAAGCTTAGGCAACTGGGCAAATGTCATTAAAAAAATATAGGGGGGCCTCCCTGGTGGTGGAAGGAGTTAAAACACAGCACTATGAAGTTATCCACAGCCACTACAGCACGAGTTTGATCCCCAGCCAGGGAGCTGACCCACATGGAGCAGCAGACCTCTCCTGTCTCGTCCACTGCTTTCCTCAGCAGTGTATTTCAGTCAATCTGTCTGTTCTGCTTCCCACTCTGTCTCTGGTGAATCCTCTCACCCCCCGCATCTCTGGCCTGTACCCCAGTTCTTGTATGCATAAATAAATAAATCTTTTTAAAAATAAAATAAAATAAAAAATAAAATAAACAATAAGTGTGAGTAGTTTGTTAGGATTAGTACTAATTGTTGTTCACATCTTCGTTTCTCACCCCACCAGGCCCTCTGAGGGAAGGGAGAGAGATGAATACTGTATTTGGAAAACACAAATAATCTTCAACAAAGCAATTTTTAATATATTCACATACTATGGCTTCTTTATATTTAACAAGTTTTTCCCCATTAGAGTGAGATTAGAGTTCACAAAAAATTCTTGATGACTGTGGTTCTTGGAGTTACAACAGAGAAATGGAGGTCTACAGGATGATGCTCCCCAATGATATCCACCAACAAAACCTTCTACAAGCATTCTCACTTGCAAGCAAATAAAGGAACTGAAAACCCCCCTCCCCCATCTTCTTGTGCTTCACCCCACCCTGTGACAAAGGTGCTGGGAGGCTGAGAATGGGCCACACTCCCAGCAGAAAGCCAAGCAACAGGCCAGGCCAGGCCAGGCCCTGAGCTGAGTGCAGCCTGCCCTGTGGGGTTGGTGATAAGTTTGCAGCTGGGTATGCCTCTGTCTTTAACATCAAAATAAACCATTATTTCAAGCATAATTTGGGGAGGGGGACAGGAAGGTTGTTATGATTATTGGAAACTTACAAATAATTACTTTGGAATTATGAAGTGTAAATATGAGGCCTTTGTTATTTGACAAATTATCTAAAGTGCTCCTAAAAACAGTTTACAAGTAATTTTGTAGCCTTAGTCATGGTCAAAGATTTCTTTCCCTTACTGTAAGAAAGCTCCTGCTATAAGTCAGGGACAACTACCAATTTATTGTTATGCGAATAATGCAATCTTTCAAGTTCTTAAACATAAAAGTAGTACAGAAACCTCGTTTTGGCTTTGCTTTTTTTTTTTTTTTTTTTTTTTGGTAGCCTCTATAGCATTTCCCTGCTAATGCTATCCCAACTATGAATTTACTCTGTTTAAATAGTCTTGAAATTCTCAACACTTCTATCTGCCAGATTGGTTCTCCATAGAAAAAGCTGTGACTCCCTAAGCAAAGGCTGGCTAAGGCAGGAGGCCCTCAGGCTCTGTTAGGAGCCTTCTTGTTGTCATTGTAGCTGAAACCACCCATACCCTCTAGTATATTCATGGGCAGAGGGAACACGATGGTGGAATTCTTCTCTGTAGCTACAGTGGTCAAGGTTTGTAGGTAACGCAGTTGAAGGGCTATGGGTGACTCCGCCAGGACCATGGAGGCGGACTTCAGAGATTTGGAAGCATTCATTTCTCCTTCTGCAGCAAGCACCTAAAACAATGAAATAAAAGTGTTCAGAAATTAAAATGTACCTCTCTGTCTAATGTGTTTTCTTTCTGTGTCCCTACCACTCTCTCTCTCCCAAACTCTAACTTCACCACATGTGTTTCATCTACTTGCTTCTTTGGCAAGGATATGTGTTTCACATCCTAATGTAATTAGAGAAATTTGAGCAGGCTGCAGGAAGCAGGGAGATAGTTTACAAATTTTTAGTCCCTAGATTTCATTTTCAAACAAAAAATAAAAGCACTGGGCCTCCCTGGTGGCGCAAGTGGTTGAGACGCAAACTATGGGGTTGTCTGAGACCTCTGCAACACAAGTTCGATCCCCTGGCTGGCCAGGGAGCAACCCGCGTGGCGTGGCAGATCTCTCTTGACTTGCCTGCTGCTCCCCTCAGCTATGTACTTCAGTCAATCCGCCTGTTCTGTTCCCTACTCTGTCTCTGGTGAATCCTCTCACCCCCCGCATCTCTGGCCTGTACCCCAGCTCTTGTATACATAAATAAATAAATCTTTTTAAAAATTAAAAATAAATAAATAAAAGCACTATCTTTAAGCCAAACAGATACTTGCCCTTCCTCCCTAGAAATGCTTTCAAATCACTTTGGAGCCTTGTCATCTGCTGCAGAGAAGTCTGAAATTCCAACTGGCTTTTTCTGTTGTTTTTACTTAAGAGAGATTTTTATTTCATTCTGCTGCCAATTTTGTCTCATTCTTACAATGAAATAATTTTCTCAAATTGCCTCCCCTCTTGATTACAAGTAGCAAGAGCCAGTCTGATAACCGTTTTTGGCAGTCTCTTAAGTAGTATTTGCTGCTCTTCTAGTTCTCAGAGGACCCGAGAAAGACTGGAACTCTGCTATGCCCTCTATGGACACTCACTGCCTGTGCACAAATGCACCCCACTTCCATCATGACCAAGCCCCCCCACTGCTTAAAAGCTGCTGGCGTTTAACAGAACAGACCAGGGAAATAGATAAGGAATGAGAGCATAGGAAAACCTTGACTGGTTCACAAGTGAGACTCCAAAGAGCATATACAAAGTCTTCTAATCTCCATCAGCTCCTGATACTTCAGGAAACCCTCCCATACATACATGAATGCTATCAAACCAACAGATTCAACAACGCCGAGGACATGGTGTGCTTGTATCTTATAATTCTATCCTGGATTTAATTTAATTGCACCTTCTTTTATCCAGCACATTTAACATACTAGAATAATGGTGTCAAAAAGCAGGCTCCAAATTGGCTACATCAAAATCACCACTTTTTTAAAAATGCAAGTTCTTGGGCCCACCCAAGACGTTGCTTCACTGAGTTTGAGGTAGACCTGGGAATTGGTTTTTATGTTTTTTTTAAGATTTATTTATTTATGCACACAAGAACTGGGGTACAGGCCAGAGGTGCTAGGGGTGAGAGGATTCACCAGAGACATAATGGGGAGCAGAACAGGCGGATCAACTGAAATACACTGCTGAGGGGAGCAGCGGGAGAGACAGGAGAGGTCTGCTGAGCCATGTGTGTCAGCTCCCTGACAGGGACCGAACTCGTGCAGCAGTGGCTGCGGATTGCTTCACAGTGTTGCATCTTAACCCCTTGCACCACCAGGGAGTCCCAGAATTGCTACTTGTTTTGTTCACATCTCTCTAGGAGACCCCCAGGTAGCATCCTTCTTGATCACTTCCTGGAATTGAGATAAATCCCAGGAAGGAAGCAGAGTTGGAACCTACCTTGCTTAGTAGCTTAGCATGTTGCTAGCATCCCAATTGACCCAAGAAATGCTCCAAGCTTCCTGGGGCACATTACATTGCTTATTGTATGTTTTCTATTTATTTATTTGTTTGTTTGTTTATTTATTTTTTAATTAATTAATTTATTTATTTCTGAGTTATTCAAAATTGAACTAACTTGCTGGAGTATCATGGATCAAGTATATTTGATAGAGACTTATTTATCCCATGCCTATTCTATAGGATATATTTATACCACTGAATCAAAGTTGTAGCGATTATTCTGGCATATTTAGCGATAGCTAAGATGCCATTTCTTCTGAAACACAGACATCAAAATGGCTCTTCTTACTTTCATTTAGAAACCAGACAAGTTCTACTTGGATTTTCACTCTTGCCTGAATCAGGGACTTGGTTGTAAGGGTTTCCATGTATGGACACCTACAAGTATCAGATTGATTCTTTATTATTTGAATCTTTCTATGAGAGAGTTTTGTGAAGCAGTTGTCCCTTCATTTTTGTTTTATTTTTTAAAGGTTAATTTATTTATGCACACAAGATCTGGGGTGCAGGTTAGAGAGTGAGAGGATTCACCAGAGACAGAGTAGGGAGCAGAATAGACAGATCTACTGAAATACATTGCTAAGGGGAACAGCGGGCAAGACAGGAGAGGTCTGCTGCGCCATGTGGGTAGCTCCCTGGCAGGAGATGGAACTAGTGCTGCTGTAGCTGCCAATTGCTTCATAGTGCTGAAAATTAACCCCTTTTGACACCAGGGAGGCCCAACCCTTCATTTTTAAACCCTTGTATAATTTCAAATCACTTTGGTGCATTTGTCCTCATTAATTTACATTTATCTCCTTCATATATTGAACCATATTTTAATGAGGAAAAACATTTTCAGGGTCATTCTTCTATTACAGGAGTCAATTTGTCTCCTGTTAAATGAGTTTTGGCCCTAATAATTTAGACAACTTGCTAAAGAGGTGAGGGGGTTACAGATGTTACTTTCTTACATGATTGTTTTCAAAACATCCATTTTATGTCTCAAAATAATTCCACAAGAAGTCATTCGGGGCAGGTAATATTGTCCCCTTAATTGAGATCAGAAAAACAAGATCTAGAGAAGTCAAAAGACTTGTCTGAAATCATTAGTTTTATTCTAATCTAAGGCTTTTGACTCCACTATACCACATTTTCTCCAATTGTATTTCTTTTTTAAAGATTTATTTATTAATGCATACAAGAGCTGGGGTGCAGATCAGAGGGGGGTGAGAGGATTCACCAGAGGGGGGAGAAGAACAGGCAGGTCTACTGAAATACACTGCTGACGTGAGCAGCAGGTGAGACAAGAGAGGTTTGTGGGTCAGCAACCTGGCTGGAGATGGAACTCAGGCCACAGTGGCTGGCAATAACTTATGAGTGCTGAGACTTAATCCCTGCGCCACCAAGGAGGCCCCTCCAATTATATTTCTATTTTGAATCATTGAGTGACTTATAGATTATACTTTGAAGAAATCTTTTCCAGTACTCTAAAGGGTTAGCATGCATAGCTAGAACTACAACTTGGAAAATGCAGCTGTGTGGGTAACCAGACATCCTCTGGTGATAAACCAGCAGAATATGCAGGAGTTATTCATTTGGTTTCTGGTTGTGTCCTAAATGTCTCCTTCTCAGGGTGTTGGGTGCCTGTCCTCATGACCTTTAAATTCAGGGGGAAATGCTCAGTAAAAAAACTGGGAAAAAGAAAACACTCTTCTTATCAAAATAAATGTGAACCCGATCTTCCAATCAGGCCCTATCCTTGTCTGCCCCAAGGCTAGGCAGCTGGCCCTGAGAATAGAGGGGGTTGCCTTACCTTGGCCCTGGCTTCCCGGGTGGCCTCGGCCTCGGCGGCCATGGACCTCTGCAACTGCACGGGGATCCGGACATCTTTGATTTCCACACGGGCCACCCGGATTCCCCACAGCTCCGTGGCATCATCGAGTAAGGTCTATTTCCAAATCAAAAGAAAAGACATTGATCACATTTTTTGTATTTGCAAGATAAAGTCCTCCTCTCTCTGTTGTATTTATAGCTTTTGGAATAAGACTGTTTGAGAAGACAGGAGGTATCATGCTTATTGCTCACTTCCTGGAATTGAGGTGAATGCCAGAAAGATTCATTAAGAACACCCAATCAATCTTAAAGCAGGATCCACTCCATAACCATCCCTAATGAAGTGTAGGTTATTCATCTAGTTTTCTGCAAATAACCCACATTTACTTGTTACTGACATCAAGCAGGCAGAGCTAGACTTTGTCCAGACAGAGCTGGACTTTGTCCTGGCTCTGCCATTTGTGACTGTGAATCAATGGGCCAGTTACTAACCTCTCTGATCTCAGTTTTCTCACCCATAAAAGATTACCTTTCAAGATGGTTGTGAGGTTTGGAGAAAATACATGTAAGATCTCTATAGTGCATAGCAATGACTCAATAAATGAGATATTATTTGTCTAGCTCTGTTTAACCTCTGCATGTAGCCAATTCTAAGCAGGCAGCAAGGCATATTTATTTATTTGTTTGTTTGTTTGTTTGTTTATTTACTTTTAAAGATTTATTTATGGGGCCTCCCCGGTGGTGCAGCTGGTTGAGCGACACACTGTGAAGCTGTCTGCAGTACAGGTTCAATTCCCAGCCGGCCAGAGAGATACCCACATGGCACGGCAGACCTCTCTTGCCTTGCCCACTGCACCCCTCAGCAGTGTCTTTGATCCATCTGCCTGTTCAGCTCCCTGCTCTGTCTCTGGTGAATTCTCTTGCCTGCACCTCTGGCCTGTACCCCAGTTCTTGCAGAGATGGGTAAATCTTTAAAAAAAAAGATTTATTTATGAATACAAGAGCTGGGGTGTAGACCAAAGATTCAGGAGGTGAGAGAATTCAACAGAGACAGAGTGGGGAACAGAACATAAGCAGATTGACTGAAATACACTGCTGAGGGGAGCAGCAGGCGAGACAGGAGAGGTCTGCTACTCCATGTGGGTAGCTCTCTGGCGGGGATCAAACTCGTGCTGCAGTGGCTGCCAATAGCTTCACAGTGCTGAGACTTAACCCCTTGTGCCACCAGAGAGGCCCGAATGCATGTTTTTTTAAGAGCAGAAGCAGCATAAAGGAAAAAAAAATACTCTTGTCATTTGGAAAAGCTTCAAACATAGGAGCCTCTTCTGGTTATCCTGGAGTTGGGGGCCTGAGAAAGAATGCCTTGAGAAACTGGTGATACCAGATGAGTAATACCCTCCAAGGGAGTAGGCAGAGGTTTTTGTGCTGCTTTATTGCCGGTGAGCCTTTGCATTTCTGTGGTCCCTGCAGAAGCCAGGGAGATGGTAACACCTCACTACAAGTCAGTGACTGACTAGGGAAACATCGGAACCGGCAAATTCCTATAAATTATAAGTAACATTATCATGCTGAACTGATATTGCCTCATAAAATCTTGGGATCTTTGTGCTTAGGAACTGGGGGAGTTGCCAAGAAAAATCAAGGTTGAATATCCCTCCTAACTTACCAGTGGGAATCTTAGGCATGTTGGGGTGTTTTGAATTGTTGCTATTTGATGATCACCGATAATTAAAATTAATGGAATAAAGATGCAAGTTGTTAATTCTTTACCTGGATGCTGTGGGCGATCTCTTCTCGACCAGCTAAGATTTGGGACAAGGTCTGTGTCCCTAAGACATTTCTCAGGGTGGTCTGCGCCAGCAGAAATGTGGCTTGGTGGACATCGTTGACATTAGCCACAGCTGAGACAGCGCTATAGATCCTGTAATAGACAACTCCATCCACTTGAGTGGTCACAGAGTCTCTGGTGAGGATCTGGGGATTGAGAACAGGGAAAATCATGTTTATGATTCTCACGGCAATTGGCAGAGTGTCAGCCAGTCCAAGCCCTCACCACAGGAGAACTCACATCAGCGGTCTCCAAAATTCTGGTCTGCATGGAGTATAATAGCATCCTACTTGATATCAAAATTCTTTTCATGAGTACTCTGTACCTATATCGGCAGCTTCATTTTAGAGAAGTCTCACATCCCATAGGCAGAGGCTCTTGATTTGCCATGGTGAGAAAAGGTGCTTTCATTTTAAAATGCAATAGTAGAACTTTTCTGAAATTCTGCCTTCCAAACAGAGGGAGGTGTTCCCTGATTGCTGAACTCTTTCTTGTTTGCAATATTTATGAAACTTGATAAATAGCAATCCTTCTTAGAAAACATAGGTGGCACCAGAGACCATGTTCTATATTCAAATAAAGAAAATCCATTTAACTTTAGATAGATGATCTGCATAAACCAGTCTCAATAATGTGATGAGACACTTTGGTGCAAATGAGTGCTTCTGGGAGGGCTATGGCATGGGACCTAGAACCCCCTTCTTCTACCCAGCACTATCTACTATGAGCCAGAAAGCACCCAGGATGTTATGAGCATCTTGAGCTCTATTATGACTATAGCAGTTTCCTCCAGTGTCGTGGAGGCATCACTGATGGGTCTGGATTGAGTTCCCTGGACCGGGCAGAAGAACATGAACATTTACTCAAAAGTGTTGATTTGCTGTCTAATCACCTCTGTGCCCCCCATATGGATCTTTCACACATTTTTTTTTTCTTTTTTCTTTTTTTATATTTGAAGAGCAGGTTTATTAGAAAGGGGATAGGACAGTAAAAGACACTTGCATAGACACAAGCAGGCAGGAAGAACTGCCCCAAAAAGGACAGGCTTGCTGAGAGAGGCCTGCATGGTTGAGGAGAGCTGCCTCCACTGAGGGAAGTCAGTGAGAAGTCCCGCACGATACAAGTCACAGACAGGCAGGAGGCTGCTGCCCTGCAGGAGAGAGCTGGTGAAAGGAAGCACCTGCATAGTCACAGGTGGGCAGATGGAGTGCTGCCTACACACATTTTTCTTTCCTCTTCCTGGGTCACGAATGTCAGAGTGTGACATGATTATTAGTAACTCTGTTTCTAACCCTGTTATTGCCCAGTTACTGTTCTGGGTCATTTGTTTGCAGTATTTTAAGAAATGAAAAGAATCACTTGAAATCTAAATGCAGGGGATTCTGTGCAACACCTGCTCTTTCTGTATGCCCACTCTACTTTGCTGCATCCACACACAGAAGTTGAAGAGTGGAGTGATACAAATATTACAAAAAATATTTTCAGAGGGGTTTATGGGGGAGAACTTATCATTATAATCCAGAACTGGCAAATACTTGCCCTCCACGAAATTAAGTTCAGCTGTTTATTTGTTGGACTCCTCCAAGCATCTGCTCTGTTGTTCTTTGTCCTAGTTCCTCTGCCAACTGGATCCCCTCTCTCAGGCTTTCTCAGGCCTAGTCACTCAATTCTTGTAGTAATTCAACCCTTGTCCTTGGCTTTATTTGCATTGGACAAAACAAAACTCCAGAAGTGACCTAGGGTCTTTCACAGACCTTTGTGGGAATTCAGTTCATCCTCCCTCTTAAAATAAAAAAAAATACTACAAAATTTTCAACCATCCATAACAGAGAATATATAGGTTTTGTTTCCAGTAAAATGTCTCTAGCCAGCATTACCTCTTGCGGAGGAATATTGCAAGTAACAGTTCGAAGATCAACTTTGACAAACACATCAATGCAGGGCAGGACCAAGATTAAACCTATGAAAAAGAAAACACAGTTTAAATTTTCACCCCATTGAAAATAATTACAAAAATTGTCTCTTAGCTAAATGGTACATCATTTCATGGGACTATAAATACTTCTTAGATGATTTTTGCTATGTACAACTATCATCTTGGAAACAATTATTTCTCCAGTTAATGATTAATAAAAGTGGTGCCCTAGGAAATGAAATCATTTGGTAAGAAGTTAAGGATCCTTGACATTTAATTTTCAGATTTTATTTTTAAAATACTCAAACCACTTCTCTCCAAGTGTTGGATATGGCATTAATTTAAAAGGTTATTTTGGAAATCAGTTCTCCTGTGTTAAAGGTATCTGTATAAAAGATTTAAGTAAAGACATCTGACTTTGGATATAGGGCCTGTCAAATTTTTCATTCATCTTCAATCATAAGAATGTTAGAATTGAAATCTCCCTAGGATTTCAGAGCCCCTGAAACCAGTATATGGCAGAATTTACAGTTTCTCCATAGCTATACCCTGGTTCAAATATAATGGCATCCCCAACTGTAAACACATTTACCTCTGAATTCTAAAGTGTTTGGGTTGGGGTTGAATAGGGGAAGGATCCAGATAAGGAAACTTATTTGAGGATCCTGTAACTCTTTAGGATTGCTCTGATGAATATTTTTTACAGCAAGTGTAACAAAGACTAGAACCATAAGGCCTGTCAACAAGATAAAGGCACCAATTAATTCCCATTAACTGTATGGGTTTTGATTTTAAAAGAAGAAACAAGTGTTTTAGTTTGAGTACCATGGAAAGGACTAGAGTTACCAACAGAAAATTCTGCCAAGTGTTTTCTTTCTTTGGATCTGTAACAGAAGACTTCTTGAGATTTTTGGTGAGAATTAGTGCTGACTTTACTTCCTTTGTTGTTGTCAGGAAACTGGTTAAGATCACTCCCCTCAGAACGAGAAAGAGTCAAATCCCAGCTCTACAACTTACTAGCTGGTGGCCTGAGAACATACATCCAACTTTTCGGAGCTTTATGTTATCTAACAGATATAAGATGTTAGTGAAGATTAAGCATGACTCAACATGGTAATGAAAGAAAGTACTAACCACAATGTCAGTTATGCATTAAGTGCTGAGGAACTGATAGCTCTTATTATTAATATTTTTATTGTTAAAGACTAATTTACAAAAGCGAAGTGGTTTCCATTAGCAATTTGGCTTGTTTCCCTCTGGCTCTTATGACATTCTGAGGTAACTTATTAGCCCCAGAGACAAGTATGACGAGAATAATTATCCTGGGACATTTAGTAGTGAAATCTTCTGGGGAAATTCATTTAAAAGAGATACACTTTTCTCCAGAGTCCTCTAGGTTTCTCTGCCTCTCTCAAGCCCCACTAGTTCCCTCAAAACCCACTAGATGCACATAACTGGAAAGGGGGTAGTCTGGTTCCCTATTCCTTCTGTTGGGTGAACCTCATACCTCTGTTTTGACATGCTTCAGAGAATATCTATGGTAAGAAATTCTTGTCTTTTTTCTCTTAGGTCCTTCAAAAATTTGACAAGCAGATTATCCTTACTGAAAAATGACCAAAGCTCCTTAACAATTTTCTCCTTTTGAAAGTTCTTATATATTAAATATTTATATATGTGTGTATATTACATATATAACATGTATTTATATATTATATAAAGACATCTGGATGCCTATCATGGTGCATGGCTAAGGGCAGAGCACACAGAGTTATTAAGGTGAATAGAAGTTCCTGTCCCCCCAGAGATCTGCAGTCTAATTAGAGAATGATTTTACTCAAATACATCATAATAGGGGGCAGAAAACGAATGTTATTAGAGGAGTACAGCTAATAACCATGTTTTTCATGTGTCTCCTAAGATGCTGTTTTAGATCGTCTCTCCTTTCAAGGATATTACAACTTATCACAAAAAAGTGCCTTTTTATGAGTCAAAACAAATATTGGCAAGTTAATGAAACATACACTAAAAGGAGTTATAAATATTAGATTAATACCACATTTCTATGAAGTTTCAGTGCCTGATATCGTCCTCTTCATCCCTGCCCCCCAAATCCCATCTTTTTATAACATGAAGAGTTTGGAACATTTTTCATTGTAGGTTTCTAGAGAATGAGGGAAATAAATACATTTGATGAAAGGAGTTATACAATGGCATTAGCTCCAGTTGTACAGAAAGGCAGGGGTTCCAGCTTCCTGTGAGTTTTCTTTGCCTCTCATTAGGCACATCCAGGGAAAGTACTCGAGGCAGTAGTAGTAGCAATAGCAGTAGTAGTAGTTGTAGCAGCAGCAGTAGTAGTAGCAGCAGCAGCAGCAATAGTAAGAGGTGCCCATGGTCTGTATAGGGGCAGCCGCAGTGTCATACCTGGCCCTTTGGCTTTGTCAGCTTGGATGCGTCCCAATCGGAATACAACAGCACGTTCATATTCCTTAATGATCTAAGAGATTAAGGGAGAGCATTTAGTCTTAATGGTCCATCCGCTCATATAGGGTGCCCAATTTATTTCCCCAGGCATTACCTTCAAGCACATCCATATGGAGATAGGGAAGGTAATGATCATCAATAGTAAAGAAAGGGAGAACAGGACCCAGCCACACACCCCGAGCTTTTTGTTGTTGATACCTAGGAAGTAGAGGGAAGCAAGTTGGTCTTTAAAAAGCCACCCAACTGTGTGTGTGAGGAAATCCGAGCCTGCTAACATGCAGGCACACATACATGTCACACACACACATACAATATTCATTCATGTTTTAGATTAAAATTGACCTTTACCCTCCAAGAAAATCTAGCAATCAATAATTACAATTACTGTCACATTTATATAGGACCGCCGTGGCTTTTTATTCTCAAGACACATAAGACATTATTACCCAGAGTGTGATCCATGGATATTGTTTTAAAAGACAGATTCCTTACCCCACCCCCCACCCCAAATTTTCTAGGCAACCTCTCAGGTAGATGAAAAGGCACTATTATCTCCAAAGACAATGTAAAGCAAGCTAAAACATTTTAAAGGCTTTGGGTAGGAGGTTCCTTTTTTTTTTTAAAAGATTTATTTATTTATACATACAAGAGCTAGGGCGTAGGCCAGAGGTGCGGAGGGTGAGAGGATTCACCAGAGACAGAGTGGGGGACAGAACAGGCAGACTGAGTGGAATACACTGCTGAGGGGAGCAGTGGGTGAAACAGGAGAGGTCTGCTACACCATGTGTGTTAGTTCCCTAGTTGGCGGGGGCTGCAGAGGCTATAGATAGCTTCACAGTGCTGTGCTTAAACCCTTGCACCACCAGGGAGGCCCTTGGTAGGAGATTCTATGAGAGCTCACTAACTTACCAATGCTATCACTAGCTAAGCCTCTTGAATTTTCTGAGCTTCTGCTTATTCATTTGTAAGGTGGAGATAGAAAGCTACCTACATTTGATGAATGAACCTACTTTGAAGGAGTAGAGGCTACCTACTTCGAAGGATTTGATGAGGATTAAGTGAGATTATTTTTCTACGGCAGCTGGTCCATACATTGATATCTGCATTAACCAATGCATATTACTAATCTAGCTCAATTTTACAGGTTAATAAGTATTACAGGGACTTCTTAGATGTTGATGTTTGCTAATTTTGGCTTTACATGGAATTTTGTCTCATAGACTTATTACATTGGATTTGTTCTTTGCTAATCACACAATAATAACCAGAGAGCTGGGGCATTTTGTCTGAATAAATATGGCCTTGCACTAACGATGGGACTAAATTCCACTCATACTTCAGCCATCCAAACCTTTGTAGTTTTAACCATATCGATAACATAATTTCTCAAGTCTTTGAATTTTTGTATGTGAAACATCCTATTGGTGGCGCAGGCAGTTGAGCACCGCACTATGAAGCTGTCCGCAGCCTCTGCAGCGCAGGTTCGATCCCGGCCAGCCGGCAAGAATCCCACATGGTACAGCAGACCTCTCCTGTCTCCCCCGCTGCTCCCCTCAGCAATGTATTTCAGTCAGTCTGCCTGTTCTGTTCCCCTCTCTGTCTCTGGTGAATCCTCTCACCATCCTGTGCATCTGGCCTGTACCCCGGTTCTTATATAAAAATATATAAATCTTTAAAAAAAATCCTATTGATTTATATTCTCATCACAATCACCACAACTAATTACATGTACTAGGTATCTCCATCCAGATAACCCCACCCATACCTAATGCTATTTCTGTCTCAGCTAATGCCTGAAATACCCACACCAGTGTCCACATTAGAGAGGCAGGCTCATATTTCCTCTTATTCGATTACAGAAGTCACTGAGTCTAATGATACCACCTCACATCCATCCTCGCTTATCCAGTTTACTGCTGTTGACTTGCTGATGTCCAAGTCATAAATTTGTGAATATTTAGGAGGGATCTAGGATTTTGTTCTTTCAAGCAATGTTGTGATGAATGTTTTTTTTAATGTGTGTTTTTGTGTATTCATGTAGGACAAATTTCTGACAGAGGAAAAGTTAGGTTAAACGAATTGCTATTTACAATTTCAATAGAAGATTTTAGCTTGGGAGCACTCTAGATATTTTGCAGCCAGAAAGCTTCCAGTTTACTGTTATTAGTGCTCTGCAAAGAGTTTGTGCCAATTTGCACTCTCATCAGCAGTGGGTGAAATTGTTTCCGTTTTCACATGCCCTCAATAGTTTTAAATTTCTCAAACGTTACATTCTGATAGAGGAAAAGTTTTAGGTATGTATTTTGTATTAAAATTTTGTGTGTCCAACTTCCTTTTACAGACCCTAGGTACAAATAATGACATACTCAACCACAAGGACTTGCCTGTATACATCGAAGTTTAAATTCCTAAAATCTCACCATCCAAAGGCTTGGACCTCATTGAGGTGAATCAGACTATCATGCAAGGAAAAAATACATCATGTGCTCCGTTGTATTCTATTTATTAGTGTTTTTTATTATTAATGACAAAGCCTATATATGTGTGTGTATACCTATATATAATACACACACACAAACACACGCATACACATATATCTCCTATTGTTAAAAAAATCCAATACGGCTAAAACTAAAGTCTCCCCAACCATGCTCTTTTTAGTCTGCTTTTATCTAGAGAAGTTCTGTAGTTATCAATCTTGTGTACTTCCTTATACACACATTCTTATATATTTACACACAAATTCTGCAACTAGAGAGTACTGGTTTAAATTTGTAGATTTTATTTTGTGATAAATGGCATCATGCTACATTTAAATTTCTACTTTTTTTAAAAAGCGAATATATTTTGGAGATATTTCCATGTCATTGCAAACAGATCCATCCCTTAATTGTTGCTTCTTATTCCATCTTAAGCCTGTCTCAGTTTATTCAACCATTCTCCTATTCATGGACAAAAGGTTGCTTGTAATTTTGCATTAGAACCAAGGTTGCGATAATTGAGCTCATACAAGCCTCTATGTGACAAATTGCACCTCGAGTCTTGATGAAGTTGTTAAGAAGGCAACAGAGCTTCTGCCACCTTTTGGTTGTTCCCTCCAGATTGACACTGCATTACTTGCTATTCCAGAACATTGGGGTTTTACGGGGCTGTGATTCTAACAGTGCAGCACACAGGCAGCTGGAATCAGCAGAGAAATGCATCTACACTTAATGCCTTGAGTAAGCCCTAGACATTTCCAGAGCAGTTGCAGCCTTATCACGGTGCTGCATAAGCAAGTGTTTGTCACAGAAAATCGCCCTGACCTACAGGAGCTCCTCCGGGGTCCCATCAAGTCCTTGCATCATTACATTTGAGGGAGGCTCTGTTTGGTACTAAATGTGCTGAGAGAGACAAGAGATGAAGAGATTAATCTTCCAAGATTTACACCTGAGTATTAGAATTACCCAGGCCACTGCTGCTGGGAGATTTGTGGAGCCTGGGGGCGTCATTAACTCCAGTTAAAGCGCGGCTGTGAGCGCTGGCTGTCGCTGCTTCCCTGCAAGTTGTAGCAGCTCAGCTCTGTGAGCTGCGGTAGCTCTGGGAGAGCAGGAAGCACAGCTGTTGTAGCTTCCAGCAGAGTAAATCTTCCAGATAGCCTTTGCCTCTCCACCGCTCCTACAGTTAAAACCAGGATGCTGTGCTGAGAAGTGGGTTTGAGGATTACAATTCTAAGTGAAAGGATGTGCTGGGATTATTTTACAATCAATACTCAGAAAGTTACTGCCTTCACTTCAACCTGAACAAGGCTATGGCCAGAGTGTTCCCTAAATCTGAGGGAGGGGGTTGATCGAAGGAAAGGGGCCACACACACTCTATTAACCACGAAGCCCTGAGCACATCTCATCAGCTCCTGCTTTATCCAAATCCATGGATACATATTTTCAGTGGATAATTGTCAGAGCACCATAAAGCTGTCATTATATGCTTACCTCAAGTAAAAAACTGGATTTTGCCACCCTTAACAAATTGTCCCTGATTTCACATTCATGCATTTCATAAGTATTTTCTCAGTGATATGCCAGGCACTGTGTTAGGGCTGAGAACACGAAGGAGGATGAGATGGGGAATGTTCCATCAAGAATTCAAGCCCAACAGGGGAAGAAACAATAGAAGCATAATGATGGGTCAGTGCTCAGCTGCACCTTCCTCTAGGAAGTCTCTAGCTGGTGAGCAAATGACTAAGTAGAGACCCCCCCACCCATCCCACCCACATGTGTGGCTGTGACAAGAACAGCAGACCCTAAGTTTGATCTGCAAAGAGGAAGGTAAGGTCATGATGTGCAAAGCCAAAGGCCCACTGCTGCTGACACTGGGATGGACCCCGGGATTTTAGCTTGGAAGTATTCTAGATATTTTGCAGCCAGAAAGCTTCTTGGTTACTGTTATCATTATCATCAGAGATCTCTCTAAGTAAGGTGGTACCTATATACCAAGACATAACTACCTTTATTGACTTACACAGTGAGGCAAAACCAAGCATCTCTTGTAGAAGAATGCCTCTGGGGCTTTGCATCTGGTGCTAAGATACAGCCCATAGCACCAGGGGACCGTTAAATACCTGTTAGGAGTTTGGGTAAACACTCAAGGCAAGATTGGTAACTTGGGCCTCTGAAGGGGCACAGGGGTTAAAATCATAGCCCTATCAAGCTATCACCAGCCACATCAAGCTATCACCAGCCACTGCAGCACAAGTTCGATGCTGGCCAGCCAGGTAGCTAAGCCACATGGCGCAGTGGATGTCTTGCCCGCTGCTCCCCTCAGCAGCGTATTTTAGTCAATCTGCCTGTTCTTCTCCCTATTCTGTTTCTGGTGAATCCTCTCACCCCCACACCTCCTGTCTACACCCCAGTTCTTGTATGCATAAATAAATAAATCTTTAAAAAAAAAAAAAGAAGATTGGTAACTTGTGTGAGGCCAGAAAGCAGTGGAGAGTAATCCAAGTCACTGGTCATTCTTAGATGGCATTAGCAATGGAAATGGCTTTCGGTAAATAGAAGAGCCCCTAGGTGATATTTTTGGTTGCTTTTCCCCAACTTGGTCAACAGTATTTACATATGAGATCTATTAGATGCAATCCTTGCCCACAGACTTGTCTTACTGTCGTAAGCAGAAATAGGTGTCTGAGTATTAAGACATAAACACCAAAACAGGGCCTC